ATAGACAGTCACTGGGAACCCGAGCCTGTCATGATCGTCTTTACTGGTAGATTTAAACGTTTGTTCTCGACTGTATATACGTAAACTGGGAGAGAAGTGGAGACTGGACTCTACTGGTATAAATGCTAAAAGTCATTTGAATGTTTTTCCTCCAAGTTCCTTTTTGTGTGTGTTTTTTTTTGTTCTTCCTTTTCGAGACTGCAAATAATCTTTATGTTTGTTGGCCAGCGTGATGTTTTGTCCTCCACATGCTCCCTTAAATCTCTGCTTCCAATTAAGTTGCATCCAAAATGTTTCACCCGACGCTTCTTTTAATGTCGTCTGAAGACAGCAGCGCAGCAGACGCATCATCTGATGCAGGATTTCTGAGTTATTGCGGTCACAGATGTGTCCGCCGTGTTTCCTTCGTCTCAGCCGGATTAATCACTGACTGATTTAGAAAACTGTACGAGTGGACGAACCAACACGCGAGCAGATCAATTACAGCAGCAGCAGCAGCTATAACCCCGTCTGATAAAGCCTCCCATCGTCCTCTCCTCGCTCATATCTTTCATAGCCCTCGTTTTATTCCCCTGCCCTTCCTGGAGCACAAATGACTAACACAAAGGCAGCCAGCTCATTACCGATTCCCCTGCTGCTGCTGCTGAGGCTCCGTGTTGGAAAACACCTAAAACGGGACGCATTTACTGCAGACATCACAAATATCTGCTTTGCTTGGACAGTGTTTCTGCAGGTTTTTATCTCCGTTGTAGGAGAAAGGAACAAACAATTACGTCTTGTGGCCAAACTGACCATAACTCATCCTCCTCCTGAGCTCACACACGATACGATCCTGTTTTATTGTTGTTGTGCTTCACAGAATCCACCGAACAGCGTTACGTAGTTGGATAAACTGTAAAAAGGGACCCATGTCCTGTTAAAGGAAAAATGGTGTTATTAGCAGGATTACACTTAGAAAGGTTTTTAAATAGACTAAGGATGGTTTTTAGCGTCCGTCTGCTCAAACAAACACTAACGTTTGTCCATGAACGGAACAAAGTGCATAAAATACACAATCAGGTCACAGAGTGCATGTTAAGACGTCCATAAAAACAGAACTGTTCTGCAGATGAAGACAGAAGTCAGATTAACTCACCATTAATTAAGACTCACCAGTGATGAACTGAAGTTTGTTGCTTCCAGCTGTTTGGGACTTTTTCCTCTGAGGTTATTAAACAGCAGCAGCAGCAGCCTGTCGTGCACATGTGGCCACATCGCAGAATAAACTTCAATAAAGTTCATCTTTTTCATATCACGGCTGCAACTAACATTGTCAATTATTCTGACGACTGTTTTCTGGTTAGTTGGTTAATCATTTGGTCTCTGAATAAAAATGTGCGTCAGTCTTTCACCAAGTCCAAGATTACAAATGTCTTGTTTTGTTCAAAGATCTTCAGTTTATTGTCACAAAAGAGGAAAGAAACCAGAAAATATTCACATTGATGAAGCTGAAAACAGAATTTAAAAAAACCCTCAAACTGATGAATCAATTATCAAAATAATTGACGACTAACTAATTAATTGCTGCAGCTTTTTAGAGAAAGAGCAACAAACAGCACAAAGGACATTAACTTGGGTTTGTCGACACGAGTTTATTTTCCAAACGTGAAAATGCAGCCAAACTGCAATAAATGGAGTTTTAATGAGTGATTTAGCTGCAGTTTGTGGTTTTGTTGGACTGTGTTGGCTTAAAGCAGCTCTTTCATTCATTTGTGGCCCGAAGTTACTGAACATTTTCACCAAAAATGGAACATTAATATTATTATTATAAACTTTTTGCTAGATTTTGTGATCATTTTAGTTTATAAAAATGGATTTTGTTCAGGACACCGTGACTCTGCCTCATGCTATGACAAGGAAACATATCAGTGAACAACATAAAACATTTACTTGCCTTTTTCAAGTTTCTTTGACAGATGTTTGTTGTCAAAGTGCAGCCGTGTATAAGATGTAGTTTGTGGTTTTGGTTTCGTTTAGTTTCTCCTCCCCTGTTAGTGGGATAGAAACGTTTATTTCGACACTTTTTCAAAGCGTTTTTTAAACTCTTTTCTCGCTATCGTTTTCATTTCAATTTAATAAGTTGCGTTCTGTGTCGGCTGCCTTCATTCATTACTTGCTTTCTGATAGAAGTATCAATAGACAGCAGAACAGATCAACATTTAGTTAATATTTCAAATTTATTTTACAAATATTTGAAGTAAAAACGACCCTACTTCTAAAAGATTGGTCATCCACGTAGTTGCAGATTAATTTATTAGTTGATAATCGTTGCTGCTCACATTGATTTTTATTTTCTCTTACATATTCAGTACTGAGGTAATCCAAAAGTAATCAAGTTACATTGCTTTGATGTACTCAGATTACCGCCTGTATCTTAGAGCAGGTAACTAGTGGTTGTCTCAGATCACCCTGCTGACTCTGTGCTCGACTTCAGGGCGACCTGAAGAGATATCTGCGAGCACAGCGTAAATCAGATGGCATGACTCCGGACCTGCCGACCCGCGACCTCCTGACCCTGCAGAGGATGGCGTTTGAGATCACCTCGGGTCTGCTGCACCTCCACGAGAACAACTACATCCACAGGTCAGTCCGTCTCCTTCTGGACTCTGATAAAACCTCCGATCAGCAGGACGAACGTGTTGAAGGTGTTTGTGTTGTTTCTGCAGTGATCTGGCTTTAAGGAACTGCCTGCTGACCTCGGACCTCACTGTGAGAATAGGAGACTACGGACTCTCACACAACCACTACAAGGTAGAGGTTCCTCTGAAAGTCCACCTTGAACCACATCTTCCTCCCCATGTTTGATCTCCTGATCCATGATGAACTGTGCTGTGTGTCTCTGTGAAGGAGGACTACTATCTGACTCCAGACAAGCTTTGGATTCCTCTGCGATGGATCGCTCCTGAGCTGCTGGAGGAGTACCGAGGATCTCTGATCGTCACCGACCAAACCAAGACCAGCAACGTGTGGTACGTTCTAGAGCCAGTATGTCTGCTAACAGAGCTGAGCACTGCTTTGTGTGTCTCGTTTTTCTTGTTTTTCTCGTTGTGTGAATTGTTTTGGTAATTTTGTGTCTCAGTTTGTTTCCCGTTTTTCTCGCTTTTCTTGTTTTGTGTCTCGTTTTTTCTCATTTTTGTTGTTAAATGTCTTGTTTTTCATTTTTTTTATCTTTTGTTTTGTTTTGGTCGTTTCGTGCCTCGTTTTTCCTGTTTTGTTTTGTTTTGTTTTGTTTTGTTTTGCGTCCCTCTGCATCTTTTTTTCTTTTTGCTCTCGGTGTACCAGTTGATCCAACCCTCCCCTGTGGTCCTGAGCTTTGGGTAGTGACTCACATACAAGCAGCTGAAATGAGTTGCTGGACTCAGAAATAGACTAGAAATAGTTCAGACATTTGGAGAGTCGCTGCTCTTTTGGATGAGAAGCAGCTGGCTGAGGTGGTTCCGGCATCTGGTTAGAATTTCCCTGAAAGACCCAGAACTTTCAGGAGGGATGATATATCTCATCTGGCCTGGGAGCACCTCAGGATCCTCCAGGAGGAACTAGAAAACACTGCAGAGTAACCTGCCACCACCAAGAACAGACGCTTGACAAACAGAAGAAGAAAGACGGATATACAATAAAACAACTCACAGTCTTGTCCAATTATGTCACGTCTGTTCAGAAGTGAGCGCTCTGTCTACACGAGGTGTTGCTGCACAAGCGTTACATAACAGATCAGTCTCTCACCATTCTCACTCTGTTTTTCTTGCAGGTCTTTGGGAGTGGTGATTTGGGAGCTGTTTGAGTTCGGCTCTCAGCCTCACCGACACCTGAGCGATGAAGAGGTTCTGACCTTCGTCATCAGGGAGCGGCAGATAACACTGGCCCAGCCCAGACTCAAGCTCTCCCATGCAGACTACTGGTCAGTGCTCATGTTCTCGCTGCACAGCGCAGAGACGATGATGTTATGTTTTGATCAAACTGATGCGTTTTTCTGTCTCGTCTGCAGGTATGAGATCATGCAGTCCTGCTGGTTGCCTCCATCGCAGCGGCCGTCTGTCGCTGAGATATTCCTGCTCCTCTCCTCCCTGCTGGCGGCTGAGCGAGGGCTGGCGAGGGGGAGCGTCGGGGAGGAAGATGAAGAGGATGAGGAGTACGACGAGGGCAGAGGAAGGAGAGGGGAGAGTGAGGAGTCATTTGAAAGACGCTGGGACTTACTTCGTCCGCCTGCCTTTCAGACTGCAGCAGCCGAGCGGCAGAGGGAGTACGGCCGGGACGACCGGGACAACTCCTACCCCCTGCTGGACCCCGTTGGGAACTGCATCACCCCGTCCTCGTCTGAACTCGACGACATCCTGACCGTCACTGAAACCAGCAAAGGCTTGAACTTTGAGTATTTCTGGGAGAAGGCTCACGCCAGACGAGGCTACAAGCCGCTCCCTCCCCCTCAGCCGATACCGACTGTGAACAACAACCACAGGCAGTCCTTGGACACGCCCACTGTGGTACCCGTGATAAGTGCTCGCAGCCCCTCGCTCGCCAGCGAGTACTACATTAGGCTGGAGGAGCACACCCCCCAGGACAAGTCGCCGACTCTTAAGTCCAAGTCGTCTTTTCGCTCAGATTCGATTTGCCCCGGAGACATGGAGCTGGTGGAGATTCGCAGTGGGATGCTGGGAAAAGAGCGAGTCCCTTATTGTTCATCTGATAAGTGTGGAAAGGGTCTGCAAACAGTCCGATCGAACGAGATTCATATCCAGGTGCCCAACACCGGCGTGGCCGAGTTTAGGGACACCTCGAGCAGAGTGACCGACTTCTCTGTGGTTGATTTGGGCGACGACGACGAAGTGGAAATGAAAAAGAGCAGCGAGGCGGATAAGAAACCTCAAGCGCCGGTCCTGCCTCCTAAACCTCGCTCTATGTCCATGTCGTCGGCCAATCACCTCCACTCGCGGCCCCTCCCTGCCCCGCCCCTCGGATACAGAGGCCTGCCTCACTACACCATTGGAGGGAAAATCGAGACAGACCCCCTCCACTCCTGTCCGCCGTCCACCTTCGACCACCTCGGGCTCCATCGATCCCGTCAGACTCTGCCTCCCTCGCCGTCCCTTTCGCCCTCTTTACCTCCATCAAGTCATCCAATTTACCCCCAGCCTCCTCAGATGTGCCCCCCTCCACTCCCTCCACACTCCAAACCACAAAGAACCTGTCCCAGCTACAGCACAGCTGACGCCTACTCCAGGTACAGCAAGCCACAAATGCAGAGATCCAGCAGAGACCCGCTGTCCTGTGATCTGTCCGACCGAGACAGTGACACCCGGCAGCATACGTCTCATTCACGCCCTAAAGACTTTGACTCTCCTATTCGCAGGGAAAACCCTCTGCGCCCTATTTATCGAAATCTCCCCCGCCCTCAGCCTATAAACCCTCAGACTGACCGGCAGTCTTCGTCCAGTCCCACTTACTCGGACGAGGACGACTCTCCCTTCATGTCGCCCGAGAGACCCAGCGGAGGGACTACCATCGCTCACTCCAGCCTCTCCGAAGATGCTGACCCTTCTGCCTCCGAGTTCTTCTCCAGGGGAATGAAACGAACACAGTCGCGCCTCGACACCATCTTGCCGGCCATTTGGAAGGAAGACGCTGAACTCCAGGCAGAACGCATCGCCGCTGCCAAGAAATCACCCATGCACCTGTTTTTGACGGAGATATCGAGTGAAGGGAGTGACGGCAAGTCTGAGGCTTCGTGGGAGGCGAAGAAGGAGGAGAAAAGGGACGGAGAGAGATGGGGGAACTTTGTTTTGCCAAATAGAGGAGGGATGAGGCGATCCCAGTCACTGATCACAGAGCTGGGCTCAGCAGGACAAACATGGGGACCAGAGAAACACAACAACCAGACCGCCGCTGAAGACGACGACGCGTTGACTAAAGAGTCATTCCAGAGGGATCTTTTCCTCACTGAGATCGACACGGGAGGGATGGACTCGGATCTGGAAGGAGGATCCGAAAGCGATCCTGTTAAATACCTCTATCCTGCAGGATCCAGACTGCGTCCTTACGTCTGCGCTCCCGGCCTTCCTTCGTACACCGAAGCCGAAGAAGCCTACTCAAAAGGTATTCGAAGATCGCGCTCTCTGCTGTCCGAGATCACTGTAGAAAAGTCTGAGACCCTTTCGGAGCCACGGAGAACTGAAATGACAAGAGAGGAGTTCCTGAAGGAGATTCAGTCAGCGGAGACGTTTCTGACTGAGATCATATCAAGACAAAATGCAAACAAGAAGGAGACAGATTCATCCTATTCCCCGACCCCGCTGTCCCCAGAGTATGAGTCCATATGCATCGACCCAAACTCCGCTCAGACCATCAGATTCCAGTCTGAGAGCTCTATACGAGCGTCCAGTAAAGGCAAAGACGACACGCAGACTGAGGCCATCTACGCCCAAGTTACCAAGCGTGCCAAGAAGAGTGAGATAAAGGTCTCCATGAGGCCCGAGATACCGATTCTTCACATAGGATCGAACAAACAGCCTCCTAAACAGGACAATGCCGACCACTGCCAGCCGGGTGAGTTTGTGTTTTCAGAAATCATGCCCAAGAACGGTTTACTGCACAACCAAAAGCTGTCATGTCAGAAAGACGAAGAGGAAAGTTCAGATGGGCCTGCATTACCTGCCAGAGGAGAGGATCCGACCGAAGGCTCTCCAACTGAAGACTCCGACACTGTGACGAACAAACCAGTCACTGCAAATGAAGCTACTGTTATAGGAAATGGTGAGATACTAAAAGACGATCGACAGGCTGCTGAGAGAGGAGATCAAAGTTGGGGAAAGGCTGATGAGAAAGCAGCTGATCTGGAGAACTGTCATGACACAAAAAGAGAAAATTCACTACAGCACAACGATCAGAAAAACACCCAGAATGCACCCAGCACTCCGGACTGGGACCCTTCCTCAGACGCCTCCCTGATCACCCCCGACTCGGTCCTTTCACCGCTGACCTCCAGCTCCGCCGACTGCCTCACACCGAGTGACTCGTGGACAGCAGCAGGAGGCGTAGGAGGAGGAAGCAGCGGGTGGCGGGCGCTAGGAAACGAAACGCCACATCGGGACTCTGCGTATTTCTCCGACAGCGACTTTGAGGGCGATGGGATGAACAGGAGGAGCAGCGACGGACTCATCGCCTCGAGGCCGGGCAGCAGTCGAGGAGGAGATCGGGGGATACTGATGGGGATAGAAGAGAAAACCGAGGAGGAGGGAGAGGCAGGAGAAAAGAGTCCTTTAAGGAATAATATGCACATTTCAGACAGCAAAGCAAACAGTGTAGAAGGAAGGACTGTTGAGATCTATGAGGAGAAAAGTGTAGTTTATCAAAACGCTCCTGAAAATCATTTAGGTAATAACAAAGGGCTGGAGTCGGCGCAGAGAGACGATTCAGGCATTTTCCACGACGTGATGCGCGATGATCCGCAGGCCAAAGACTGCGTTGACCTAATTGATAAGTTGTTTTCGAAACTAGATGAGGAGCCGCTGAAAGGCTTCGTGATTGACAGCCACTACACAGATGGCATCATTTCTCAGATAACAGACTCTACAGAGAGCGACTTCAGTCTGCACTCTAAGACAAATAGTTTGATCAACTCTGTATCTGGCAGCAAAGATCTAGCAAGTGTTACAGAAGCAGACAACCATCTTGCTGCATTGAATTCCCTGAAATCTGCAGAAGAAACTGCAGAATTAGAGTCCAGATTGTCCAAACTGTGTGAAACTGACGACGACGTGATTAGAGATGAAACACAGTCAAATAAAGCAACCAGTGCCTGGGTTGAGCCGGGTGTTGAAAAGCCGAAGAGATGCGACGAAAAGCCTGGTTTCGACCACAACGAGCTGGGCCTGAGAAACCTCCACTGCTCGGACGGCAGGGAGGACATCGGCATCACGGCCGAGACGGAGAAACAGCTGGTTGCCGCCGAGCTGAGCAACGCAATGAAGGAAAAGTCGCCTCTGAGGGGAGCGTCGAGCAGAACCGCTGTGGATAAAGACTCCTGCGAGGGCTTGTGGAGCACTCTGGACGACGAAAGACCTGGGGCGGTTCAGGGAGAGTTGGACTGCCACCGTTTTTCACAGTCAAGCGACTTGCGGTTGTGGCCCGATGAAAATGACCAGTGGGCCTCTCCGGAGAGGAGGTGCCGAGGAATCGAGCTGAGATCGGAGTTCTTCTCAGGGTTTGGTAATCATGCCTGGGAGGTCGGGGAGAGGCTGGTCGTGGGTCAGGAGTACTGGGAGAATGAAGAAAACGATGAACTTGCAGGAAGCGAGCCTCATCCTGCCGTCCTGGAGGGCTGTGAAGAAACCTGGAACAATGAAAGTCAAAGGCTCAGTGGGAACCATCGAGCAAAGGAAATGTGGGACTCTAAAGATGCAGAAAACCACCAGAGTGTAGCAGACGTACAACAAGAGGAAAATGTAGAGAACCTGCGGGAGATTGACGGTTTTAGCACAGAGCCAAAAAGAGAACAGTCGGATGTTGAGGTGGAGAACATTGAGATACCAGCGGAGGAGACCTCGGAGCGAGGAGAGAGGCAGATCTCATCAGTCGGGGATGGAGAAGCTCGCCTCGATTCCACGGAAACAGAGGAGAATCAGAACTTTAACAGATGGCCACAGAATCAACTCTGCAGCATCCAGAGGGAGGAGAACACTTCAGATGTGGAGAATTCATCAAACGTATCTATCTGCATCACTGAAGCTCCTCGCGTGAACTTCTCAGACCTGGAAAACGTGGAGTCAGGCTTCGATTCAAAGTCCGAGATGAGACCGTGGCTCGACAGGCAGTACATAGAGGAAGGAATCAGCATCATGAAAGTAGAGGAGGATTTCGGAGATGTTCCTCTTCCATCCGACCCCTGTGATGCCCAGGACGAGATGGATCAGTCACAGGCTGACAACTTCAGCTCTGTAGATTTTCCGAGTCCTCCTCCGAGCATAGACCTCGATGTGCAAGATGATAAACTGGAGAGTTTAGACGATTCTTTCCCCAGCCCACCTCCATCAGTTATAGAGGCAGAGGACTTTATTAGTCACATTAATCTAGAAGATTTTATTGCCGGTACTGAGACAGAGTCGTATATTTCCCCAACTTACGCTGCAGATGTCCCTGAACCACCTCTAGAAGAACCTGCTGCAACTCAGAGTAAAGGGATCTCAGCCAACCTGAAGCTCCCCTCTGTGCACATAACACTGACCGACGAGACCAACCTCACCTCCAGCTTAGAAGGTCAGGATGACCACGATGACCTGTCCCAGAAAACATCACCTGCAGCACCTTCTGCACCCCAAGTTCCCCTGAACAACCTCCCAGAACTGCTGATTTCTGAGTGGAAAGATTTGGACGAGGAGCCTCTGGAGGACTTTGAAAAGCTGGAACAACTGTGCTGCATATCAGGGGATGAGGAGGAGGACCTTTTCTTGGGGAACCTGGAGCTCCTAGAGTCACTGAAGAAAACACCTGATCAGAAAGGCAGCAGCGCTGGTGACGATGATACAGAGATATCTTCTGGTCCTGAGGGCAGCAGGGTGGATCTGAAGGACGACTCTGAAAACTCTGATCAGTCGGATGAATCTGTACAACCGATGATCTGGGACTCCCAAGAGAACCAGGAGGAGAGGAGTGAAGGACGGACCACGTCTGACACCAAGGACCAGGGCTCTCTGTCCAAGATGACGACCAAGAACGGCCTCATGATGCAGGTGAGCGTGTCCTCTGGTGGGTTGCTGCTCTGTGCGTGACCCGGTGGACTTTATTCACCTTCTTGGCGGTTTTGTTTTGCTGCTTCAGGTGTGCGAAGAGCGGCTGCAGTTCTCCCTCAGCGAAAACGTGAAAACAAACGTGCTTTGGGGGTCGACTGTGAAAGACACGGTGACGCTCCGACCGTGGGGGGAACAGGTCGCCGAAAACAGCAGCGAGACGGAACCGAAGGAGGACGAGAGGTACGAAGGCTGAAATCTGAACCTTCTCCAAAACCAGCCACCGTGTTTGAGAAGCATCTTATAGGTTGTAGAAAATCACCAAAACGACACCATTTATCAGCCAAACTGTAAAAACAGAAAGATTTTCGACTTCCTGACGGTGGCAGTCGTCTGTAACGGACAGTTCTGTTTGGAGAAATCACCGAATCCAAGCTTAGTCGTGATATTTCATCAAAATCTATTTATTCTACGCGTCTCTTTTATTTAAAAAATGCAAAAAAAAACAAAAAAACTTTTTGAACAAAACAGAATTTGTAAAAATGAGCAGTCGTTTGTTTTTGGGGAAGTTGTACCACAAAAACAGAAGTATTGAGTTCTGGACTTTCAAAATGGCTCTCTAAATATAACTAAGAATGTTTTTTAATATGTGCGTATTTGTCATTTAAAAATATACATATCACCGGTGACTCGATGGCATGATGACAATAACGGTGAAAATTTAATGCTTTTGTCTGTTTTTAAAAAAAATTTGTGACCAAGTATTTCAC